CTGCCCACCTTCTTGACCAGAATGGTCAGGCCCTGGTACTTGAAGGGCTTGGAGAACTCGATGTACTGGGCTCGCTCGTTGTTGATGGTCAGCGGGGCCACGATCATGTCCGCCTGCCCGCTGAGCAGCTCGCCCATCATCCCGTTCCACTCCTTCTTATTGCTGTTGTTCACCTGGGGGCGGCACGGCGGTGGGGCGCGGGCACCGTCGGCTCCACTCGAACGGGCTCCACCCTAGTGCGCTTCCAGGGTCCCCGGCGCCCCGCTCAGACCCCGCCCAGCCNGGGCCCGGTGCAGATCACTTTCTTGACGGGGTCCCCGTTGACTGTGAACTCCTCCTTGCACGTGCCGTCGCTCATCGTGGGCTTGACGTACACGAAGGGCTCCTGGTGGATGGTCACGATCTGGGGGAGGAGGCGGAGACGCAGCCTGGACCACCGCCCTCGGCTGCTGGGGCGCTGTCCCCTCTCAGCGCTCAGCTCCCTGACCCCCCTCCAGATCCCCGACGTTACCCCTCCCGGGCCACCCGCCACCGTCCTCAGCATCACCTCCCTGCTGCCCTCGGGAGGGGCCCGGAGGCCAGGAGGGCTCAGGCCACCTCAGCATTCAGAAGACGCATGGCCGCCTAAAACCCTGAGCCCTTCTCTGAGCCCTTCTCTTGGCCACTTGTCCTTTGGTTCTTGGCTTACACGTCACTCCCTCCATCAGAGAAGCTTGCTGGAACGTCCGGCCTGTCCCGGCACCTCCTCTGACATCTCAGGGATGAGGAACTCCCTGCCCCAGCCCAGAGCCTGCCCCATGAGGTCAGGGTCAGGCCCCTGACATCCACTCAGCCTGCAGGAGCCCAGGGCCCACAGTCGCCTTGTCCGACTGCTCAGCCTCCCCAGCAGCGGGTCCCTGTCTGGTCATCCACCTTCCTCCCTTCCTGTGTGCCCTGCTGATGCCGGCCTCTCTCCCATGCCTGCCTCGCCCTCCTTGGGCTCATGTTGGGGCTCTCTCCTCCCTGTCCTTCAGGGGCTTGGAGGCTGGGGGTGCGCAGAGGGGCCTGAACCAAGGGCAGCATGCCCACGAGGAGGCGGAGGGGAGGTGATACTGGACTTGAGCCTGCAGTGAGCAGGGACCCCTGAGGCACCTCTGCTGGGGACGTCGAGGAGGCTGGGCCTACAGGGGTGGGCAGGCCTAAGCTCAGTGGCAAGGGCAGTGGTTTGGCTTCCCCCCTGGGATTGGGAGCCCCTCAAGGGGCTTAGTGACTTTTTAAAGTTTCATCATGTTTTTCTCTTAGACAAGCAATGTATGCTTGTGCTTTTTAAAACTCATTGGAGCCCTGACTGGTGTGGCTCAGTTGGTACATGTACCAAAAGGTCACTGGTTCCATTCTGGGGCAGGGCACATACCCAGGTCGGGGGTTCAATCCCTGGTCAGGGTTCACACGGGAGGCAACCGGTCCATGTTTCTCTCTCTCTCTCCCCCTTCCTCTCTAAAATCAATAAAAACATTTAGAATAAATAAGTCAGTGGGGAAAAAAAGTAAAAAGTGAAAAAGCTGGCAGCCTGGATAGGACCATCTGGCCATTGGTGTTTTCAGACTTTAAAACATGCGGTGTCTGAACTTTAGGGAAAGCCCACTCTGCCTGTGAAGGAGGGTGATGACCTGCCGACAGGCGCTGACAAAGGGCTTGGGTGAGAGGCCATGGGGGTGGGCCCAGAACACAGACAGGACCGAGAGGCCTTTGAGGACCTGGGACGTTGGCAGAAGGTTAGTGATCTAAGACACTGGCCTGGTGTGGGTCAGCATGGGGAGGGACTCTCAGGAGAGCGCCCTCGGAGGAGAGAAGGGGCCCAGGAATGAGCCCAAAGGAGCTGGGAAGAGTCAGGCCAAGGAAGAGAAGCTGTGAGGGATGAGGTCACTGGGGAGGGAGTTCCCAGGGGCCCAGGGAGAGAGTCCAGGAGGGAGTGGCCCACCACAGGGAAGGCTGCAGGGAGGCCAGGGCCAAAAGGACAGTATGACCCAGTCATGGCAGGAAGCTGGAGTGGGGATTGGTTAGGACATCCTAGAGGAGTGATGAGGAGTGCGGAGGTGGCATGTCTGGGACCAGAACTAGGACAGAACGCTTAGGCTAAAGTCTGTAGAGTGACCACCCATCTGGCCCTGGGTCCCCCATCAGCCTATCCTCAGGAAAGTCCTTTCCCTCACAGCTTCCCCGGATTTAAGTGGGGTTGGGTCAGCAGGGGCACTGGAGAGAACCACGGGATGGGGGGCTGGCAGCCACCTCTCCCCTCCACCTGCTCTGTGCTTCCTGTGCGGTGCCAGGTGTGTGTACAGGCAGCCGGGTGCCTGTCCCTGCTTCTTCTATGTACTTTCGTTAGCCTCGCTGTGCCCTCCTCTGGGTCTAAGGAGTTGGAAGGAGTGTCCAGGGTGTGGGGGCTGGGGCAGGGTGGTGGACCCCACCTTTAGCCTGGTGGACATCTGGTACCCTCGGGGTTTCTCTGTCTCTCCTCCTGGCCAGATGATCTTCCGGTCATTGGGGATGACCTGGGGGTGGGAGTATGAGATGGAGGGTGGCCACGCAGGGGTCTTGGCCCCAGGACCCTAAGGCCCCAGCCCCCACCCCCTCATGACCCCCACCTACATGGGTGCCATTGTAGATGCCCACTTGCACCAGCTTGCGGTTCTGCAGGTTCATGATACTGTAGTTGGCGAACTTACGGTCGCCGTCCTCATTGAACTCCACGCGTCCGGTCACCCCTTCCGCGTATTTGGAAGACATCAGCACTCTGGGGAGGGCAGCGTGGGTTTGACCTCTCAGAGCCGCTCCTTCCCGGCCTCCCGTGCAGCCTGACCGCGCCTCCTGCCCCAGTCCCAGTCAGCCCCCAGAGCCGGAGCCGTGAATCAGGCTGGTGGCGTTCAGGTCTGCCTGACCAACAGCACAGCCACGGCCACACAGCAGCTCCTGGGTGCCAGGCCCTGTGCTGAGGGCTCTCTGTGGGTTGGGACATTCTAGCCTCTGCGTGTGCACGCTGCACATGTGCATGTGGCATACCGTATCATCGGGGCACATCTGTGTGCATACATGATCCTTGTGTGGTGTGCACCCCTATGCATGTACTTGTGGCACATGTGTGTGTGCTGTATGCCTCTCTGGGTCTGTGTGCACACACGTGCACACATGCGTCTACATCTGAAGCTGTGCGTGCTCCTGTTGTGGGCACTGTGGACGGTGGCTCTGCATGTGCAACTCTCAGTGTTTGCTACTCAGTTGGAGGGTGGGGTCTAGTGATGAGCTGGGCCTGCGCACCCTGGGTGAGCTGGGCGTCCAGGGGCTGCGAGTTACTCCTGCCCCACGGCGGCTATCCACTTGGGTCTGGCCAACCCGGGCTCTGTATGGGCTCGGGTGCCATCCCTGGGTTTCTTGTCTGAACTCCGGCATCCCTGGAAGCACCCAGTGCCCGCCTGCAGCAGGAGCCTCCTCCCAAGGGCTGTCAGCCACCCTGGGGAGTGGGGTGCGGTTTCCGGGATGGTTCCAGTGTGAAAAGCTGGGGGCAGGAGCCGCGGAGGTAGCGACATTCGAGGCGTTGGTGTGTGTTGGAAATGGGGCAGGTGATTATAACAGGGGAGCGAGTGGTGGAGGGAGAAGTGGGGAGAGGAGGGAGCTGGGGAAGGGGACTGTATCTGTAGTCTGTGGGCCCGGCTGCACCAGCTGGAGAGCGACTGCTTCCACCTCCTGAGAGCCCAGCCCGCTTGCTGCAGGACGGCCCCGCCCACCCAGAGCGGCCCGCCCACCGCCCCA